CTGTGGCGTCGGAAGAAGAGAGAGGAGAGAGGGGGGGCAGGGGGGGGGGCGAGGTGAGAATGCTGAAAAAGGAAGACTTCTCTTTATGGAAAAAAAGAGCTGAACACAGCTGCCGATCTGTCGGAGATGTGAAGAAGGAGAACGCGAACATGTTAAAATCACAACAACAGGAAACCTGGTTGAACTGGACGTGAGGACGACGCAAGAAGAGAGAGGCGAATCCGCGAGCTACAGCGGAGTGAGTACACAAAAAATAGAGATCTCCTTGTAGAAGAGGAAGCAGTCTCATTTGCATATCATTGTGTGTGTGTGTGTGTATGTGTGTGTGCCCGCTTTCTTGCTCGTACCGTGTGTGTGTGTGTGTGTGTGGCAGGTGCTTTGCCCATGCTGGGAGGAAGGGGAAGACCACGTGTTGCAGGAGTTGCCGCAGAACCCCCTCCTCAACACCCTTCCCTTCCTCCTCTTCCTTTAGTTTAGTATGACTTCATCAATTAATATTTTTGGTCGATTATGGGGTGTGCACGTCACGCCGTGGGTGTTTGAACTGTGTCTCCTCTTTGCAAGCTCCATTTGCTTCACTGTACCTTCACCATCCTGCAGGCCAATTAGTTAGCCACTTTGGGCTGTCTGACGTCATGGTGCACTGCAGCCATTTTGGCAATAATTTATTTACCCCAGAACCAGACAATAGCTTATAATAATATGCGTTCATCATAGGCAATAGATAGATAGACCTACATGCCCTGCAGCAACACACACACAATCACCACACGGCTAGGGTGAAGGCTAGGTCGTGGCCAGTGGAGGGTTAAAGGTCACGCTGGACAACTTTCTCCCACTATAGCCTTAAATTCAATTCCTATTCATTTCCCTACACTGTTCTATACGGCGTGCTTAATTCAGGAGAGCAGAGAGCTCCATTGCTAAATATTGTGCCAGTTGATTTTCTTTTCACGTGCTGTTCTCCTAAATCCTAAAAATCCTAAAATAGCAACAAAGAAATGTTGTAATGTGCCATGAATGAACTGTAATTGCAGAAAAACAAAGTTAACATGAATGAAGTGAGTCTTTCTGCTTGTGACTCAGCACGCTCATTGCTGCGGTTTTATCAGTTTGCATCCAGATGTGTGGTTTTCTGCTGTTGATGTACATGCACATGGTGCATCGAGCGTGTTAGTAGCACGAGCCTGTCTGTTTATTTTGCTCTGCTGATTGCTAATGTGCTGTTTCTTTGATTGTGAGCTGGCTGCGGAATGAAATGATCCGATTCTACAGGGAGCGTTTGTTTCTTTCCACCGCCTGTGCTCCTCCATCAAACACAAAAGCTCCGGGCTGCACGGCCAGTCTGTGCTCGCCAGTTCAAACATGCCACTAGTTCATTTCCAGAGGCTGTTCCCATGTTTATATCCGTCTATTTAGCGTCAAAAAAGAACTGCAGGACATGTTTTTGTTGTTCTGAATGCGCGTTTGTCATTTCGTGTTATTTTCTTCAGTCCTGTAAAGCCGGGGATGTTGTTGTGAACTCCTGTAGCTTGCAGCACAAGAAAATAGACTAGCTGTGTTTGATGAGAGTTCTGTTTCAGTGTGATTTCGTCAGATTTCTCTGCCAAAAGAAGGGAGGGTCTTTTGGAGATGTGCACGACGGCACGTTTGTTTGGATTTTATTGAACACAGATAGAGCGCAGCAGTATTTCTCTGGTCAGCTCTTGGATCCCACTCCATTCCCTTCCCTGCTGTTTAGATTTCCCAGTTTTACCTGACACGCTGCAGGCCGCTGATCCGCCTGCTGCGTTTTGGAATTAATTTAGGCTTATTGTCAGAGCCGAGTCTCCAACTTCCACACAATAGACAGACCAGAAAACACCGTCTGATTATTAATACTTGCCACACGGAGGGACAGGCTTTTTTTTCTCTGCCCTATACTTTGCATGACAATAACCAGGAGAATGGACCTCGATTTATTTTTCAAACTGCACAAAGGAGCAAAATCGCATTTCTCTTCTTCGGCGTTGTCCCCACAGCTTTTCCACCTCGGTAATATTTCAGAACACTGACAGGTCCGGTCGCTGCACAGAATGAGGCCGTTTAACCCTTCAATATGTTCATTTTAATGTTCTCGTTCTGGCTTTATCCCAGTTAAGGCCTGCCATCAAAAAAATCCGTCTGTGGCTTTTGTTTTAGGCTACGTTTAAAAAACGAATGTAGACAAAAATCTAACATAATGTGGCCATTATATTAGGATATTATTTTTACGCAGCTGACAAATGCTTATTCTTGTAGCACAAGCTTTTTACGGAGTTAGTGGCCTACACTGTTAAATCGCACTATTTATCCCTTCATTATGAAACTACCCCGGGCTATAGAAACGATTCAGTCTTACCTTAATGCTCGTTAAAATGCATCCATTTAAGAGAAAAGTTTAATCTCATTTTGGAGTTGGAGCAGGGAGCGGCGGCTCTGCGGGTTTATCAGCAACTACTGAATTTGTGAGCCGCGGATGGGATAAACTTGTTAGAAAGGTCTTGAATTGTGAGGGTGACTTTAAAGTTATTTATTCACCCCGGCTCTCTTCCGCTCCCTGAATATTTTATGGCTTTTTTTCACCTCCTCTCTCCAAAAACCTTTTAACCTCCGGGAAGTTGCCATTTACGCGTGTTGGTGTTTAAGCTGTAAACGGAATTGACCCGCAATAAAAACCCACATGTTTAAATCCAGATCCGCTGACCTTTTCCACTCACTGTATCCCGCTGTATGTCATCCTCACCCTGTCTCTCTGCATGTCCCTGTGTCCCGGGCCGGGTCTTCAGTGAAACATTCTCTGATATACATCTAAAAGTTACAGCAGACTTTTATTTTTAACTCTGGAGCAGCTGACTCTGCTATAGGCATAATGCGCGCGTGTGTGGTTTGAAAACAGGACAGTCTGGTTCTTCATGTGGGTTGCCACAGCTAAGTGGTCCTTAGCTCCCTGACAGGTTAGGATTTATAATATTTAAATAAACTAAACGAAGGACTCTGTTTGTTTTGCGTTTTTCAAAAGCACATTTTTGCAAACTAGAAATGTAAGGGAATATTGAATGCTTTTAGTGGCTTCAGAGAGTCCTGCATTATTTTGTTGATATTGCATTGCACTCTGCCTGGATCGTATAAATCTATCTGGTGTTTTTCTCTCCGTATCTAAATATCTCTGAGTGTGTGTGCACATTGACCTCTACCTGTAAACAATGGGCTCCCGGTGATCTGAATGGCTGCTGCTGACAAACTTGACAGAGGGAAGGGAAGTGCCGCAGTCAGACTCAACACACCTTGATCGATACCTGAGACGACCCGCAGCAGAGCGGGGGGGGTCAAGGTGACAGAAACACGCCCACACCTGCGCAGCTAGAATAGAATAAAATAGAATAGAATAGAACACTAAAAGAAACAGTGAGAAAGGAATAAAAACTCTGCTGAAGCAGAAAAAAATGCAGACGATAGAGGCAGATTAGAAGCAGACTGACAGTGCCTCGCCCTCCGTGCTCTCTGCATTTGTTGTCCGGTCTGGTGATATATGAGCAACTTTTGGAGGAAACAGAGAACAGCAATATTGCCTGCAGCAGGCAGGGAGTGTCAGTGTCACAAAATCAATGTGGGAGCAGCACAGGAGAGAATAGAAATTACGTGGGAAATATAGCAGGAAAAACACGTTCATGTGAAAGCATGAAGAGCTTCAAACTGCACCAGGAGCGGCAGCATTTTCACATATTAGGCCATTGGTATTTTATTTATTTGCACTTAAATTATGTATTTCCACAGCTGGTCAATGCGATATGCACTAAAATATAAACTAGTTTCTATTGAGAAAGAAAGAAAGAACGGACGAAAGAAAGATTATGGAGTGCAGGCCCTTGTGTGTGTGGGTCAGATCACTCTTTAATTCAGTTAAATCAGAGTTTTAGAGACAGACTGCAATTAATTTACCACGGTGAAGGGACATTTACTCATTTATTCATTGGTCCATCCATTCTTCAGTCAGATCGTTCAGAACAATTTCTGATAGGACGGTGTCCCCGTGCCAAGCGATCAGTCTTTTCTTTCATTAAATTGTGTTCATCCTGTTAGAACGGTCCACGGTTGGAGCTGCCAAGTATTTTTTTTTCTCTCTCTCTCTCTTGGGTAACTACAAGTGAACTGTAATTCTGTCATTTTAATAAGAATTTGTGTGGTTATTAAATGGATGGAAAGCTTAAGGAATATTTGGAGGTTGAACATTCGTTTCAGGTTTAAATATTCAAATTGATAAAAAGGTGAAATAAAAAGCTTTGTCAGTGACAGAGGCCTGATCAATAGCAGAAGTGTACTTGACCATATATAGGATAAAAAAAATATTATTTTATAACATAATATTTCACAATCCCCGGAGTACCTATAATAATAGGCTACTATATGCATTGACTTTCACTGCAACAGCATACGTGATAAACAATTCATTGTACATTCCGTTAAACTAAACAGAGTAGGCCTTTATTTTCTTAGTCAAGATTTAATTCGCTGGTTCCCATTTAAAGCTGCATATGGAAACATGATTTACACAGGCCTATAACACAGCTTCACACACACACACACACACACACCTGTCGTCCTTCCTCTCCTGTCCATCACTTTCTGAAAGCAAAACAAAAACGGCAAATATGTTTCTTCTATTTTGCCTTCTTTATTTGCGAGTCAGCTGCTGCTTCATCGTTGGCCTTGGCTTACACAAAGTGTCACAGCATTAAAACTTAATTTCCCAGTTCCCCACCAGCAGTGGGGAGGTCAGGGGTCAGAGACAGTATGGATGGAAATATTCGCGTGTGGGTGTGCGGCAGGGAGTTTATGAAAGCAATAAAGGTCTATCGACGGTGTAACCTCGTGCCTCCAGAGAGCCGCTGTCTTCTATATCTACCCTGTAGATCCGGATTTGTGTAAAAATCATTAAAGAATCACAAATTCGCTTCTAGGGGAGTATATAGTTGATTTATACACGACGGCAGCGATGGATCCAGCACAGGGAGGAGAGGCCTTTGGCTGCTGTCATTGGGTTGGGACGCCTTTCTTAATTATGGATCGCTGCTTTATATTTGAATTTGCAAAAGGCTGTGAAGGGTACAAAATGTGTATCTTCAACGAATGTTTATTTCTTTTTAGCACAGACATCGCCTATTAATTTACTGCAGGACTTTATTTGTGGTTATTTGGTTATCATTGTGTTATTTAGGAGCGCTTGTGTGGATCAAGCACCATGTTGTTACCCTCCAAAGTGATGAAAACCCACTCCAGCTCTTGTACATTTTGTGTTTGTTTTTTTTCGATCATCAAACCGCCTCACATTTTTAAAGGCCAACTCCAGGTTGAATTGTTTTTTATTTATTATTTGTCTTGGTGAAAAATGATGTGGTCGGCTTTACTGTTCATCTAGAAAGGCCTATAGGGGGTTGTGTGTGTGTGTGTGTGTGTGCGCGCGCGCGCGCGCGTGCGTTTGGGGGGTAAGGTTTCGATTTAGAGACGGTCAATTTTCTGGAAACAAAGGACTTGGATATCTCCATCATCTTGCTTGTGTCTGTGCGCGCGCACCTTTGGTCCTGATAACAAAATGCAGAACAGCCTCCTTTTGATTGGGAGAACATCACTTCGTTTTTGTTGTAGATTTTATGTTTTTTTGTTTTGGCGCTGCTGAAGAGACACAGCAACTACAGCAATCAGATTTACTGGAATTAAAGGAGGTTACTGTAAAACTTGTTAGGCGAGAATGCTGGGACATAATTATGGTTATTCATAGAATGCAGAGTGCTACCTAGTTTCTGTGCGTCTTCACTCTGTGTAATACATGTGTAAGCCCTTGTTTTATTGTGTCTATTGTCTATTTTATAGCAGTGAGAAAGTGACAGCGGTTCACAGTGAGACTGTAGTGTTAGTGTTTGAAATGGGGAGACAGTATGGAAGTGGCAGCTATAGAGTGAGCGTTTCAATGTTGGGGATGAATTCCCTACTGGAGGAAAAACAAAGAGCTGTGTATCTCTGTTCAGTAATGCACAGCTCAAGGGCAAAAGCAGGCGCACATTCTGAATGAATGGGGAAATGTGGACTTGCTATGCCAGTGATGTTAATATCGCAAAGTGGTGGGGAATAAATCCTGGGTTTTTTTTTAAGCCAGGCAAAAGGCGACTCTGGCTGAGGCTGAATTACCATGCAAGGGGAGTCACATTTGGAATGGGCGCCTGTTGGAGCAACACGGGTTTTAAAGTGGGAAACGGTGCTTGATTCTCGTTGCTAATGCAAAGGTCTGCTAGTGATTTAGGAGGCCGCGTAACCTGAATTAGTTGATGAATTTTCTATCGATCCTAAACAAGCCAGATTTATCTCTGACACAGTGCTGCTGCTGGGTGGCGGCGCAGCGTGCCAGGCCCTCTCCCACTCCCCGTTATTAGCGATTTAAAAAGAGAAAAAAAAAGAAAAAAGCTTTGGCAAGCACGTCCCTACACACACCCAAATATATACACAGGGGGTGGTGCAGGCGCCACTTTAAATCCCCCCAAGCGTGTTATTTCTGCTGCTTCTTTTTTCTGTTTTCTTTATTTTTTTTCCTATTTGAAGCTCCAGCCAGACGCGTAACGGGAGGAAGGATTCGATTGCAGAAAGGGAGGACTTGTCATCTACTGTACTCTGTTGCTCGTCCATGCGCGCGCGTCCCTGAGCGCGGCTTCAGATGGAGCGGAATGTATTTTTAGCTTGTCCGACGCGCTTTGTTATTGTTGTGATTCTCTGCCTGCTTAGGACGTGCCGACATGTGGTGCAGAGATATGCAGAGAGACACGGGGAGGCAGAGGGGAAAGTATTGTACGACTGTGATTGCACAAACTGAGGCCATATGATGATGCGCGTGCGGGGGCTGTGTATACGCTTAATCCCATTTCCTTATCCGGGGTCCGTCCTGGAGGCGCGCCATTGGCCAGCTGTCGTCACGTGGCTTCTTAACTTTGTTCACTTGACAGAAAAGTAGGAGGGTTCAACGGAACAGGAATAACCGAAGAGTAAAGGGATGAGATATATATTTTAGTTATATATTTTCCGAGTAGGTGCAATTCCACAAAAAGACTGAAATTAATGGCCATGAGCTCCTATTTGATCAACTCCAACTATGTGGACCCGAAGTTCCCACCATGCGAGGAATACTCACAGAGCGACTATCTGCCCAGCCACTCTCCGGACTATTACAGCTCCCAGAGGCAGGAGCCTGCTGCCTTTCAACCGGACTCTCTCTACCACCACCACCATCAGCACCACCAGCAGCAGCGAGCCGAGCCGCCGTACACGCCGTGCCAGCGCGCAGGGCAGCCCGCTTCGGTGGTGATGTCCCCTCGGGGTCACGTCATCCCCCCGGCCGGGCTGCAGACCACTCCGGTCCCGGAGCAGAGCCACCGATGCGACTCGGTGACTCCCAGCCCGCCTCCGTCTTGCGGACAAACGCCTCACAGCCAAAGCACTTCATCCCCCGGCAGTACTCGCAAGGACCCCGTAGTCTACCCTTGGATGAAGAAAGTCCATGTAAACATCGGTAAGTGCTGCATGCAAACTTCTCCCTCTCCCCCTTTCTCTCTCGCTGCGCCTTTGTGCCTGCAGTTGAAACCCATGCAGTCGGCTATGTGTCCACCGTCAAAATCTACGGCTTCCTTTCCCTGTTTTCTGTTACAAGTAGAAGAGTAGCCCTTGGGTCGAGATTTACGGTCGTCTGTTTGCGGGGCCAATATAATTACACCCTCCATAAATTTTTATTACACCTCTCCGCTGAGGTGCCTTTTGAAGTCCGATCTCATGCTCGTCTGCTCTAATTCCTCGCCTTATGACAACTCAGACCGAGCCCATAAGTTAGCTTTTATGCTTTGGTAATTTGATTTTAAGTGGTCGGGTTGTATAAACGGTGTACTTTACGCTGTCGAGTCTTCTTCCCCACTCGTTGTTCCAGGGGAGGGAAAGTTTTATGGCAGCTGAAATATTCATGTTTGTGGAGCCGGCCGTAAAACACTAATGTAAAACCGAATAGCTCCAGTCTATTATGGCTTCTCTGTAATGTTATAGTAATAGACTTGCTGTCTGTTGCGTACTGGGATAAGCGGAGCGAACGGCGACAAAATGCCCCTTTTGCAAAGTCACCGTAATGCATTCACTCCACCGGGTAGTTCACTCGGTAACAAAACTCTCTTAGATTTTCTAGCTGTCTTGTTTTAGGAGACAGCGAACTCGGCTGCAGCATGTTTGCTTGCTGCTGTACGGCTGTGGTTTCGGGGATTTGTTGAATCATTACCCACTCGCCCATTCAGTGCCGTCGTGTTGCTGCTGCGCCCCCCACCACCTTTATTTTCAACCAGTTTATAGAAGACAGACAGTGCTCCTGCTTGCTCTCAGTCCGTGGCATCTGTGCATAAGGTCACTGAAAGAAATTGTAACTGCTCAGTTGGCTCTCTGCTGCTCTTGCTGTCTTTATGTAGCCTATTTATATTTTCTGCCAGTCCTGGTCGGGCGTGCGCAAACGTGCCAGAACAGCAGTTTTTCTAGCTTTAAATGCGGCCGTGGCGCCGATTTGCACTTAGATCACAACATTTAGACACCAGCGTCAGGCAGGCTGTGCTGGGAGGATTCACTCCGCCGCAGGGCCTAAAATGACACCTGACAACACGTGTTCCCTGAAAATACAGAACCTCTGCTGCAAACTGCGGTGCACGATAAGCGAGTTCAGCTGTAACATTTGTTGAGAAGATTTGTTATAGAATAAAAGAGGATTGCAGTCATTAAAGGGTCTGCCAAGGTTACAGCCATTTTGTGTTCTACCACAGTAGGTCCAGCTCATAATGTACCGACATGTTTTTCTCCCTGTAGCTTGAAGTGCTGTTTTTAGTTTTGGAAGTTGCTGGAGCAATGGACTGCTGTGTTGCTTCCTCTTTAATGAGGGCAAGCCACTGGATATAAAACAATGCTCTGTGTATTTTTAGTGCAAGCTGATATTTTACTTGGCTAATAACGCCTGCATCTTTTTCTACAATGGTAATGCAGGGTTGTAAATCTGAAAACAGGGTGATATTCTGTATTCTGAAGTTTATAGTGCAGCCAGTTTATCTACACTTTATTATTATGCTACCTTTTGGAAGTATTTTTTGCTGTTGTTGTTTTTTGAGTGGTTAATGTTGTGATGATCATATATTCTCGTTGTTCCCCACAGTGAGTTCAAACTACACAGGGGGTGAGCCGAAGCGCTCGCGGACGGCCTACACGCGCCAGCAGGTCCTGGAGCTAGAGAAAGAGTTCCACTACAACCGGTACCTGACGCGCAGGCGCAGGGTGGAGATCGCGCACACGCTGTGTCTGTCAGAGCGGCAGATCAAGATCTGGTTCCAGAACCGGAGGATGAAATGGAAGAAGGACCACAAGCTGCCAAACACCAAGGTCCGCTCCGGGGCCAGCAACAATAACACAAACTCCCCGGCTCTAACCGGGTCCCAGAACCGCACCGGGTCCCTATAGCCCGGTTCTCTGGCTCTTTGTCTGATGTTGCCCTCCCTTTCCCTGATTCCCAAACTGAACTCCGAAGCAGCAGCCACGCTTCTAACCACCGAAGCCTGCACTTTGGACCGGAATAATGCCTTTGCTCTGGAGGGAGGGATGGAGGGATGTCATTGCTGCCTGATCGGCCCTGATGGGTGCTGATGTTTCACACTATAAAATGACGCTATGATGTGGGAGGGGGTGTGGGGGAATTTCCCATTCATAAAAAATGAAATGAACAAAAGAAGAAGAAGAAGACTGAAAGAACTGAGAATATGATGCGGCCGCTTCTTTGCTTCTATCCCCCAGCTCTCTCTCTGCTTTTTATATTTCTGTCTTTTTATACTCCTCTCTCTCTCTCCCTCTCTATGACAGAGCATAAGATGGTGGGCCGAGGATAACGTGCCCGCATGCGTGTGGTTTCTGTCCTTCTTTTTTCTATCCGAGACGTTTTTGGTGAAGATGGATCCTCGTTTTCATCTTTAATCATGCCAAGCTCGGGCCCCATTTGTCATGTTTACTCTGCGGGTACAAAGCAAAGGGGTGCACCGCGGCTCTGCCCATTACCCCTCGCCCCTACCCCCCGCACCCCTTTCCCAAATCACTATCCCTCAACCCCCCTCCACCCACCCCACTCACACGCGCACGTGTAATTAATGGAACTCTCGTTTCGTCAAGAGAAGTATTCTTACACACATACAAAACCCGTGCATGCCCACATCCCTCTGTCCGCCCTTATAGTAGCTACTCTAACATCGACTATAACCTTCGGTATGATCCAAAATGACACCAGGCAGTTTTCTGTCTTGCTGTTATCATTATAACTGTTGGTATTTCTGTTTTGTTTAATGACAAAATATAGCTTTTCAAATTTTAATTATAGTTCTTTTTGAATTCAGTGTTGATTGTAAAATTATACTTTATGCTGTTATTGCTGAGAATGACATGGAGCGTTTGTGTGGTCCGTGGATTGTTCATTGTGTGATGTTGTATACAGGGAAACAGAGTGACAGGGTGAGTCAAGTGAAATAAAGTTAAATTAAGGCATTTTCCACTACGTGCCAAACAGGGTTTATAAAGCTGCCTAAACAAAGGACACTATCCAAACCAAAATCCTGGTACAAATAGCTCAAGACTACATTATGAACGCAGCACTATACAATGTAGGCTACTACCTATTACCTCAGTTGTACTTATATATTATTTTATTTTTGGTCATTTTATTTTCTCTTGCTCGTTTAATGAAGTGACAGCTTTTCCAGCTTTTATATTTTTGAAAATGTGTGACGAGTTATTATAATAATTATTGTTACTTGCAATACAAAAAAAGCGCTATTAATTTCTTGTATGTGGACATTTTTAAAATGTAATTTAATTATAAACAGTTGTTCTGGCCAGGGACACTCGGAAAAATAAGGAGCTTTTTATCGCATGTCTGAATGATGTTGATTTATTTTTCTATCCTTTCCTTTTGTCTCTCCTTTCTCCGCACATTAAATGCGCACACACTTCCTTTTTCGTATCTGCTTCTCCTCCTCTCTCTGCTATGTCTCCTTGTGCCACTTTTTTAGGTATTTTATTCTGCTAGTATTTTTATTTTAATTGATGTTATTTTATTTACATTCCAAAGATCCGTTTCTATCGTTATTGGTGATGATAATGATGATGGTATTGTTGAACATGTGTTACCTCCTCCGGTATGTAATTTGCTCCTCTCTCTGCTTATACCTCCTCAGTGTCTACCTTCCTATTATTTGTAAATAGTTCATAGAAATTTAAATAAATGGCTAAAAAAGTGTCATTTTCTATCCTCTCCTCTCATTTCCTCTCTCAAAAATGACCATTTGTCCCGTTTCTTTTGGTGGAGAGTTTAACGGTGACGGGTGTGTTTAAAGCGTACATTCACACGCGCCCACGTGCACTCACAACAAATAATTTCATTTCATTTCAGTGTTGGTTTTGCCTACAAACGCACAGCGAGCTGTCTTGAGAAATCAGCAGCCTGCGATGATTAATCTTTCCCGGCCGTGAGTGATCTTGGTACATTACGTCCTGTAATCTCGTTTTAAATCACAAACCGTCCCTCCGTTTCACTCTCGTTCTCCCGTTAATTTAACGGCTGCTCAGACGCGCTTGCACTGGCCCGACGCAGAGTACGGGACAACCCCTCCCTTCCTCTTCTGGTTCTGAAGAAGAGGAAAAAACATTAAATAGTTTCTCGCTTCGTGGTCTTTTAATGCTTTAATGAGAGTAATTTTTGCAGAACAGTTTTTTTTTTCCTATCGGTGTTTTCTGGACCGGTGCGGTGTGTTTTATTTTTTTATATATTACAAAAAGGGAGCGGGCCGGCGCCATAGCTCAAACCCTGACAACCAAATAGATAATCAACAAGACGAATGGCTTCTTTTGTAAGGCGCGGCTCCCGTATTAATTTTCATTTTCTTTTCTTAGAGCAGGTATCGAAAAATATAGAGCAAGAGGGGGGAGAACGAGAAAATAGCATTCCTCTCGATGAACTTTAAACAAAAAAAGTGTGCCCCCCAAATTGGTCCGCTCGTATTCCTCGGCCCAGAGAAGATTCCCTATTACTTGTTGGTTGATTTCTCCCTGGGCCTCTTGCCACAGAGACTCCCTCTGCCCATTTATCTGTTTTCTTCCTGTTTATGAAAGGCTCCCCCAGCGCTAAAACCGCCCTCCTATCAAACTGTACACCTATGTGTGCTCGCACACACACACACACACACACATGCTGCGCTAAAATGGTAAAGCCTTACATATTGTGAATCGTGAATAGGCTTGTAAGCCTGCAAGTTGAAACATGTTAGTTTCATTACTGAAAAATTTTATATATATATATGTATGTATATATACTCCGCTCCAACGTGACTGCCTTTCCAGAATGTGCATTAATTTCCACTATTTATAGAGAGTTCACCACATAAGAGAGATATACTTATATATATTCTTATTTTCTGGTGAACTCTATAAGGTTTAATATCCCCTCCTCCACATATAGGCTACACGAACCCCCAGGCGGTGCACCTCTCCTCACATAAGATCGCCACATAGCCTATGTGTGTCTGAATGCTGTAATTTTCAATACACACCAATTGTCCAATATTGGAGCGTCTAAACAGACACCCCCTCCCCAATATCCACACACATATGTTCCTCCACAATAACCCCTAAAGCCCCTGAGCATTTGCGGTCCGATTTGAAATAAATGAATTTGCGTGCAGGGTGACACCGCGCACAATAAAATCCACCAAGGAATCCTTTTTCTCTTTTCTGGCGTCCTTTATCAGCCGCGGCCTTCTGCCGCATCTCTGAATGGGAGCAGATTTTTGTGAGGGTGCCCACCCCCACCCTTTACCCCCCCCAACCCTGTTAAAAAGTTCACCGCCATTATTTCTGGACAGGACAGGGGGGACGGCACCACAAGAAAAATGCGAGAATTATACAAGAAAAATCATTAATCACTTGTTCTTCTTTAAACACTTCTCCTTCTTCTTTCTATTGTCATCCGGCAGCCACACACAAGACCCCTTCTGCCAGGAGAGAGAGAGAGGGGGGCAAGGAACAGAGAGACAGACAGAGAAGTAAAAGAAGACGTCTTAGAAGACACTTGGAAGACCACCCCCCCACACCCCCCCCACCTGCACACCCTCCTCACACACACATACATACATACACATATACGTCACTTTCCCACCCATCAGGAACCTATTTTTGTCACACTCAACAAGTATCCTACCATAAGAAAAAAAAACAGTTTTCTTCCTCATTGGAAAGAAGAAAATCCTCCCAAAGAATCTCCAACAAACCAGCGAGAGAGCCCTCATGGCGCAGAGGAAGATGGCCCAGAGGTCGCTGGAAGTGGTGGCGTCTAAGGTAAGAGGCCTGGGAACTTCATTTTCTGTCTTTGCCTCTCTTGCTCCTCTGTGTCTGATGCCTCGGTGGCGTTTTTATGGTTTTATTGCCCCCTGCGCATTTGGCGAGGTCAGGCGGAGGGGGCATTTATGGTCGTGGGGGCTTTGATTTTAGCACACGGACTTTTGGAACTGAGTGTTTGTGTTTGGAAGTGTGTGTGTGTGTGTGTGTGTTGTTTGTGCATGCAGCTACACAGTTACAAATGAGGGGCTTGTGTTGTGCTGTTTTCTGTTTCCTCTTGAGTTTGTGCAACTGTTCCCGTCCCCTTTTGCTGAGGTGGTGTCACTTCTGCGTCTGCTTGACACTCTGGAGGCCTGTCGCTCCTTGAGCATCTGTTGTGCATAAAATGTGCTATTGTGCGTCTTTTATGCACAAGGTTTGGGTTGATCGTTCTGATGAAACAGGTCTTTTTTCAGATTCAGCTGGCTGATATGATGCAATTTGATACGAACTAAATAGCCTGCACAATCGTCTGTGCAGGCTATTACTCCTGGAAATTTCAGAAACACTGTAGCTAATGTATGACAGAATGGGCCACGTGAATAATTCCTGGTTCACCCGGAGCTTATTATACATTGTGTCTTGGCTGTGCTACTGCGGTTATAAAGTGTTGCTGTGGTTTAGGCCTATAGCTTTTAATGAGATACGGTTGCATGTGCGCGCGTGTGTGCATGTGTGTGTGTTTTAACGGCCAGGTGCGAACAGGCCATGGAGGCTGCAGTAGGAATATGAATAATTCGGTGCTCAATTGGAGAGAGGGATGCAAGGGGAGGAGGGAGGGTGAAAAGAAAAATTAAAAGAACTGGGGGAGCGCTGGTTAATGGATACTCCAGCGGTTGCGCTCCAAAACAATTTACTCCCAAAACAAACGATCTACAAGGCTTTCCAAATGAACTGCGAACGATCGCCGTTCGCCGTGCGCGCTCAGGCCTTTGGTATCTGCTGAGCCGAGCACTCACTCCTGTTTGACCCTTCAGAAATCAATCTGCCCGGGATTAAAAATAAAAAGTTCAGCGGTTCTGGTGGAGGGGTTCCAGACCCTCATGGGGATGCGAGTCATGGTGTGAGGCGATGCGTGGAGGAGTAAGAGAAAGAAATGAGAAATTTAAGGAAGAAGAAGCAGAAAGAGAGAGGGAGAGGTGGAGGAGGAACAAATCGATGAATCGAGTGGTCATGCAGGGGCAGGGGAATGGCCAAGCTGCGGCCACAGAGGGTTCAACCAGGGGACACGTTTTTGTGACCGATGAGGTCCACTGGCTCTGAAGCCAGAGGCTGACCCGTGGTTACCCCTGCACACACACACACACACACACACACACACACACACACACACACACACACACACACACAGCAACCCCCACCACTCCTGGTCCCCCTTGACCTCGCAAGGCTGCTGGACCCTCCACTCCCTCGGACATTTCCAGACCTCCGGAGCCCCTGGGCCACTTAGTCAAAACAGGCCGAGTTCAGGGCACTGTAGCCCAGACAGACAGACAAGTAAGCCAACCACCTGGGCAGGGGTCAGCTACAGTCCAGCGCTGAGTGTCAGTTACACAGGGTTGTGTTGTTGATTCACAAACATAAGAGCCTTTTGGAATATGTTTTCACTGTTAGCATATTTCTTGCCCCTACTACATGGATACTGTTTTGAAAATTGTTCCTCAAAGCAATTGTCTCAAATTTTAGTTAATATGTCATTTAATAGCAGAGCTTTGCAAATGTGGTGTTCTTTCTCAATCTAAAGCATTGGACACTAACAAAAGGTGTTGTGAGACATTCTAACAGTATGATTTGGTATGAAAGGGCCGGCCAGGCCTGCAGACAGGCTGAAACACAGAGAATGTGCAGCCTGATGCTGGACAGTATTTAGACAGACTGGGACCTCAGTGTAAACAGAGTCTGCCCCTCCTGATTGGCTTGCTGAAAAGCTGCTGTGCAGCCTTTTTAACTTCCAGACTGGTGGCAGCCATGTTTGCACGCTGTATTCAGGAGGGGAATCTTACACTAGGATGTGTTTGGTAAAATTTAGGACAACGCACTCATTTTGACAAGCTGTTTTGTAGTAACCCATTTTCCAGCCTGGAGAATGCGTTGGACCTGCAGCTGCAAGGGGTGCTGTGTGCATGCTGGGGAGTACTGATTAATCAAAGGGAAAATGGCATCTGGGGAAAATTATGTTGGTCAGTTTGCTTTCACCGTGCCTTCATTATCATAAAATGTTTCCCATTCAGTGTTTGCTTTTGCCTTCATTTTACATTTCACCAAGGTCTCTGAAGACATGCAACATTTAATAGTATTACCTATGCATTATCTTGCACCATGCTTACACTCACTTGTTGTGCAATAAAGCTCTGCACAGATCCATACATCTAAAACATTGATCTACTTGATCTACTGAAATAAACATGTCATTTTCAGTCACTGAGGTGCGGTTTTCTGGTGAACGCAGGATGTGGTTCAGTGTTGCTTTAAGGTCTCTTCAGTGGGACTAGTGGGAGTTCTTGGGACTAGACCTGTGACTTTTTGTTTACCTGACCATCTTCTTATTATTAAACTGGAAGTTGCCTATCTTCCTTCTTGAGAATAGTTGACTCTGCTTCTCTCGGTTTCCCTACAGTACTTGTTGCCACTGACATGATGCTTCAAAAAACTGCTGGTTTGATATTCGGTTCCACCCTAATAGTAGATGGAGCAACTATTCATCATGAATGATCAAGCATGGGAACCAAACAAATGGCAGATCCAGTTAACTTTGGATCTTCTAGTTCTTAATAAGTTTGACCTCACTGTATATTCTGTCCTTGGCCTTTTATACATTGTGTGTTTTTCTGGTCCTTTGTTACACATGAAATGCTCCCAGCAAAGTATTGA